ACTAAACAGGTCACACACACAGGTGAGCATCTCACAGGCGCTGGGAGGGCCCGAGGGCTTCAGGGGAATTCATGTCTCCCCCACACCACCCCCAGGTCAGGGTCCCCTCCCACCGGGAGCCACGCCCACTCTAAGGTGGGATTGCCCGTCTGCCCTGCTCAGGCGAGAGAGCAAGAGCCCAGCCTACAGTGAAGCTGGGCACGGTGCTCGGGGAAACACCACTTGTCCGCAGACAGCTCTGGGCCCCCACCCTGCCTGGCCTGTGGGGGCTGAACTGGGGCAACAGCTGCAGCACGACCTTCAGATCGGTGCCTTTCTGTTCCCCTCCCCACGTTCCCTTGGTGGTACGTTTTGTGCGTCAAGGAGGTGACCAAGGCAGCAGGACCCCTGCCTGGCACGTAGCTGTGCTCCATAAGGTAGCCCTGAGCACCCACCCTGTGCCTAGCTACGTGGTGGCACTAGGGCCGGGGCTCCAATCCCATGGGTGACAAACTGGCAAGAGCTGTGCTGTGATGGGATCATGGAGGGGACCGGGTCTGTGGAGGCCCTGGGCCACTATATTTACAGGCGGATGGGCTCAGCGATGAGAAGCAGGTCACACCCTGTGTACCCCTCCTCTGTGGGACTCTGGAAGCCAGTCTCGACCCTTTTCCCCGCAGCCTCTGGGACAGGGTGGGGGTAGGGCAACAGTTGATGTTGGCAGCCCCTGGCCCACAGCGTGATGTGCAGCGTGGCACCGAGCCACCAATGTAATTACACGTTCCCACCGAGAGTGCCATAATTACCCTTAATGGGTTCAGCAGTAACAAGTGCCTTTGCTGTGATTTGCTGTGGAAAAGCAGAAATTGGTGTCCTGCTAGGGCAGCACGGAGGGCCCTGTGGGAACTGGCTGAGAGGTCTAGCGGGGTGACTGCACAGTCGGGGCCTGGGGGGCCTGCAGACTAGCCCGGGAGGCCAGCCCGCTGTGTGTGTGTGTCTCTGTGGGCGGGGTTGGGGAAGAGGAGAGCGCTGCAGCTAAAACCTGCACCAAATACCCATGCCACCCCTACTGTGCGCCAAAATGGCTCTCTCTCGAATCCTGATGAACCCATGAGGCCGACACTGTCCAGTTCCACAGCACAGACTGGGGGCTTGGGTGGCTCAGCTGAGGGACCCAAGGGAGCTGGTCCTCGGGCACCGGACATGGATGGAAGGGGCCGATACAAGAATTTACTGATCTGGGGGGTTCTTGCGGGGACCAGGTCTGGACCCTGGAGCTGGCGTTGGGTAGAGCTGAGGACCTCAGTCCTCAATGGTGGCGTGGATGTGTCCGGAGCTGGTCTGGGCCAGGCCCATGAGAGGCTACTCAGGTCAGGGGGTAGGAAGCCCCACTCCCCAGCAGGAACTACAACCCAGGACCCCAGCAACTTGCAAAGACAGCCAGCTTGGCGTCCCTAGGTCTACATCTCCTCAAACCTCTGACAAGCGAAGCTCCCATTGTACCTCCCTGCCCCCGAGGCACACCCTGAGAGCTCAGGACACCAGCCATGGCTACAGTGACCCAGGACCCAGCAGGGAGGCCATGAACACAGGCTCATCTGAGAAGTGGAGACACCATCACGGTGGCTGGAATAACCAACCCGTCAGCACACCCCAGGCACCCAGAACGTTCTCCACCCATCCCTACAAGCACGCACCCTTTGGGGGCTACTATCCTTAAGATACACCCCTCCCCCTCTCCCCGCATCACGCCAAACACATGCCTGGGAGGGGCAAGACCCCAGGGTCCTGCTCTTGGGCCCTGAGACCCGGCCTGGTCTGTGTGAAGGTGCACACGCCTGTGCTTGGCTCTTGACAGAAACACCATGGAGCCACCCTGCCCTTCCTGCCTTGGGGACAACCAGCCCAGGGAGGGCTCAGTCAGTCTCCTGTGTGCACCCGAGGCCAACCTCCACCCGTCACAGCCGTCCCCTCGTCACGCCTTGGTGGGTGGCTGAGGACATGCAGTGCCAACTGGACACTCATCACACGCAGCCCAGTGACTTCCGGGAGCTTAATTACACAGATGGATTTTCTGGGTTTTAATTAAAAAATCCGTTAGGTTTTGAACCAAGTTTTGCAAATTAGAGTCAATTTCTACTGCGGGTCCAAAAAAGCCAGGCTGCTGCATGGTCAGGAGGCCGAGGCCGTGCTGGCCTGAGGAGGGGTCCTCCAGCTGCCTGGGGCCTGGCTGCAGCGGGGCCGCGGGCCTGGGGCCGCAGCTGAGTGAGACAATCTCTCCCAGGGACTGTGCCGCCAGGGAGGTTCTTCCCCAGCCTGGAAGCCTCAACGATGGCAGTGAGGCCCTGACCCAAGTTCCCTGTCTACCCTGGGCCCGGCTCCTTAGACCCAGGGACCTCGCTGATAATCCCCTTTTCAAACAGAGGTGAGGGAGACTGCAGGGACCTCCCCCAGCCAAACAGGCCCCTGGTGTACAGCTTGGCAGGGAGGGGCCTGGAGTGACTCTCCCCAGGGGAAGTGCTACCTCTTAAACCATGACTCCAAAGTACCCCAAACACCCGCCCCCCCCCCTCGCCCCCCAAGGCCCCCTCAGCCAGGAGGATGTTGCTCAGGGGGACAGTTCGGGCAGCGGTCGCTGTCCGTGGTGCTGAAGTGGCCCTGTGCTGGGCATGCTCTGGGCTGGGGAGGGGCACTGCCCACCCAGGCTTTAATGGAAACCACCCCATCAATAGCCCTTTCTCATTCCTGGACTCCCAGCTGGCTAAGAAAAGCACGCCAAAGGCCTCTCTGAAGATGGCGCTGGCTCACGAATGCCTTCTTGAGCATGTGCATGAGGAGGTCCTAGGGCTTGCCTTGTTTCGTGCAAAGCCCACATGGTCATTACCTGGTGGAAATGTCCACTTCCTGGGGCTGCTGGGAGCATGCGTGGAAGCCAGGAGAAGGTGATTGTGGCCGCTCAGTGCATGTTAGGGGCTGTCAGCCCCTCATCAGCAACAGCAGGGGACCCTGACATGGGCTCTCACCAATGACAGTGGCCTCCAGGGTCCTGGAACAGGGCAGGGGTGCCCAGGGAGGCCTGCATGGTGCAGGATAGTGTGGACCAAAGGGTGGTCCTGGCCCCTGAATCAAATCCTCACTGTTAACAGGCAGCATCCCCGGCCTGCCCAGAACCAGTGGTTTCTCACACTACCCGGCTCTGAGTTGGGGAAGAGAGACACTAAGGAGTCCATCCAAATTCTCTTCTATAAAGTGTCCAGTAGGCTCCAAGCCCCCCTTCTTGTCCCTCATCCTGACAAATACCACCCTGCCCCTCCACGATGGCCCCAGACACACGGAAGGAGGAGACATGGCAGTTCCCCCACACCGAGGACACTGGGGGACAGGCTGGCTGTTTGCAGGACAAAGGTCAGGACAGGGGAGATCCTTTCATCTGTGGGACACAGACGGGTAAGCGGGCATCCCTCACTAAGATGCGGTTCCAACCCCAGGGCCATAGACAAACCAGGCAACATAGTGGTGCATGGGCTGTGGTCCCCAGGCAGGGCTGCTGCCTGGCCCCCCATGGTAAGAGCAGGCTGTGCAGGTACAAGGCCCACAGGCCGGCTCCCTGCCAGGCTGTCATGAGATCACGCAGACGCTCTGGGTCAGGGAGGAGGAGAAGGTATCAGCTGCCCAATCCTGCCCTACACTGCCTGCCGCTACCCCCCAGAGCAATCTGCTCAGCCAGCTAAGCTCCATTAGGCAGAATCTACAACAGCCTGATGTGAGCTCCCTGAGCCCCTATGGGCACCAGGGCATGCAATAGGAAGAAGGGGGAGCGCAGGGAGGGGCAGCCCAGAGCCTGACACTCAGAACACCCAACCCAGCCACACTGGCTCCTGCCAGGACCACTGAGGTCTTCCTGACTCCCTGTACCCACAGCA